ACCTCTACCTTGCTAAGTAACAAACAGGAAGTTGAGCTCTCACAAAGCTAACTGCACTAGGAAAATATTCTAATGTCATATAATGATTTGTATTTGTAGATTAATTTAGTTAAATTTTAGTTTGATTCAGTTTTAGTTAAACTTGGAGCCCTGCTGTTACTTAAAGTGACTTAAAGTCTTACCTGATGAGGAATTTAAACAAAATATTGTGGGACATTCTGGTTGTGGGAAAGATGAAACTAATGCATTCTACCCTGTCTGTCCCACTGTGTGTAGTTATAAAATCCGGACAGAATGTATGGAGCAGGCATTTGAGGGCTCTGTCATGCCATTTGGCCTTGGATATGTGTGGTCTCAAAAAGTACATAGCATAGTGGGTAAATGAAACCTCTGGTTTCTGGCCAGAAGACCAAATGTAGGAACTTCAAGGGACTGACAAATACCAGACTGATCACAGGGAAGACCTTGGGAGAGCAACCCCATAATTCTTGTGTTCACTAAGCTATGCATACATGGATTTGACATTGAAGGGTATACCAAAGGTTTGAGTTCTGAGGCAGAACACTGTCTACATCCAAAACCAGCTAATGGCTGTGCACAGGTCTGAATGGAATTGCAAAGGCATTGAAAACTGAACTGACCACAACCACAGAGGCAGACCAGGACTTGTGCCCTCAATCCAAGTAGGCCAATAGTATACTTAAACAAGGATATTAATATTTCTCTAAAGATTTAGACAAGCTTTAGACACTTGTAATATTCAAAATGTCTAGTATTTGATCCAAAATTACTCTGTATAAAAAGATCAAGGAAATCTCAATTAGCATGAAAAAGCAATCAATAGCTGTCAATGAAGAAAGAACACAAACTTTGAACTTGTTGAAGATGTTAAGATAAATGTTATAAAATGCTCTAAGAAGCAAGAGTTAATATTCTTGAAATTAATGGAAAGAAAGTATCAACAAAATATAGCTGATTTAAAGAGGAACTAAATGGAAATGTCAGAACTGAAAGTTTAATAACCAAAATAAAAAAATTCATGATGGATTCAACAGAACAGAAATGACAGAGGAAAGAAGAGTCAGTGAACTTGAAAATAGAAAATATTTAATCTAAATGAAAAAAAAATTGATGATCAGAGCTACAGGGACCTGTGAAGCAATATCAAATTCATGTCCTTAGAATTCTAAAAGAGGGGACTGGGGTTGTAGCTCAGTGGCAAAGTGCTTGCCTTGCACATGTGAGACACTGAGTTCGATCCTCAGCACCACATAAAAATAAGTAAACGAAAATAAAGATATTGTGTCCATGTATAACTAAAAAAACAAAAGATTTTTAAAAAAGAATTATAGGAGAGGAAAAAGTTTTTGAGGAAATAATGCCTAAATATTTCCCAAATTTGATAAAAGACACAAAAGTACAGAACTAAGTTCAGTGAATCCCAAACAGGATCAACTCAAAGAAATCTATGACATCCATATCATAATCAAACTGCTAAAAAATAAAGACAAAAAAGAGTCTTGAAACTAGCCAGAGAAAAAATGATGCATTATAAATAGGATAACAATGATTCAAGTAACTAAATTTCTTGTCAGAAACTATGAGTCCAGGACATTTTTAAAGCACTGAAAGAAAAGAATTGCTAACCCAGAAGTCTACATTCAGTGAAAATAAACATCAGGAATAAAAGTGAAATAAAAGCATTCTCAGATGAAAGAAAATTAAGAGGATTCATTGCCAACAGCCTTGCTCTAAAATTGCTAACGAAATTGAATCAATAACAATAATAATTTCCTAAAAGAAGCCAAGGCTTAAATGACTTTAATATGTAAAGAAGAATGAAGTTTAATCCTTCACAAACTCTTCCAAAATATAGAAAAGGAGGGAACCGTTCCCAAATCTTTCTCAGAGACCAGTGTTGTCTTTTTTTTTTTTTAGCTGCAGATGGACACAATACTTTAAAAAAAATTTTTTTTAGTTATCAATGGACCTTTATTTTATTTTATTTATATGCTTACAATCGAACCCAGTGCCTCACACATGAGAGACAAGGGCCCTATTATTTATTAATTAATTTATTATTAATTAATTAATTACTTTTAAGCATGATTTTTATTTTATTTGTTCATTTTTATACGATGCTAAGGATTGAACGCAGTGCCTCAAGCGTGCTAGGCGAGTGCTCTACCACTGAGCGACAGTCCCAGCCCTGAGATCAATATTATCTTGAGAGCAAAAGCAGACAAAGATAACACAAGAAAACTATCAACTAACTTACTCTATGAACATAGTCGTAAAAATCCTCAACAAAATTTTATCAAACCAAACCCAGCAACATGTGATCAAGATTATACACTGTGAGGGATGTGGGATGTGGCTCAGTGATGGAGTGCCTGCCTAGCATGCTCAAGTCCCAGGGTTACTTAGCTATTTGTCACTGTGATCAAAATACCTAACAATAACAACTTAGAGGAAGAAAAATTTATTTTGGAATCACGGTTTTGGAGGTTGACTCCATGGTTGGCCGGCTGTATTGCTCCGGACTTGAGGTGAGGCAGAATATCATGGTGGAAGGGTGTGGCAGAGAAAAGCTGCTCAGCTCATCACAGAGAGGAAGCAGAGAGAGGGCATGAGGAGCTGGGGACAATATATATCATCCCCAAGGACACCTTTCCCCTATTTCCTCCAGCCATGCCCCAACTGCCTATAATTACCAGCCAGTAATCCTTTCAAATTATTAATACATCAACTGGGTCAACCCATTGGTTAGGTTACAACTCTCATAATCTAATCATTTCACCTCTGACCATTCCTCCATTGTCTAACATGAGATTTGGGGGTGGGAGTAACACCTCACATTCAATCCATAACAAATTGCCAGCACCACACACAAAAATAAATAAATAAATAATGATTATATGCTATGACCAATTAGCATTTATTTTAGGAATGCAAAGTTGGTTCAAACATACAAAAATCAGTCAATATAACACAGCATATTAAGAAAATAAATGACAAAACCACATGATCATCTCAATACATACAGAAAATACATTCACCAGATTAACAACTCAACAAACTGGGAGTAGAACATTGACACAAAACAAAAACAAAAACACCCAACCCTACAGCTAACATCAGATAATGATGGAAGACTGAAAGCCCTTTTACCAAGACGTGGAATAAGAACATGTTGTCTTTTCTTGTCTCTTCTATTCAACATTACACTAGAAGTACCACCCCCATCAATTAGGTTCAATAAAACAAGGAAAGAAAGAAAAAAGGGGCTGGGGTTGTGGCTCAGTGGTAGACTGCTTGACCCTCACTTGTGGGGCACTGGGTTCAATCCTCAGCACCAGATTAAAAAAAAATAAACAAACTGAAATAGAAGAAATAAACTACTTTCAGATAGTTTAAAATAATAAAATCTATAAAATCATAAGAAATAAAAAGCATCATTAGACCTAATAAACAGGTTCAATAAGATGACAGGATACAATATCAGTATACAAAACTCTATTGTATTTCTGTACACTTGCAATGGACTGTATCTTATCCCTGACACCTCCCCCGCATGTCTCTTTCCCTCTCCCCCACTTCTGGAGGCCACCACCAGGGGAGTTAGTACATGTAGGATGCTTGGGACAGTTGCCAACAGGGAGAACTTAGTATTTATTATTTTACGGTTGCTATTGTTATTACTAGTATCATAACCTTTAAAAATTCTATTGGGTTTTCAGAGGAGAGTGGCTACGTTTTCTTTGTATGACATGCACAGGCTTTCACAACCTGGCAGTCCCAACCATCCTGAGCGTTTCATCATTTTTGGAATTCAAACTATTTTCCACCTGCAAATCTTGGTACACATAGATACCGTCTGCCAGGAAAACCCCATTTGCCTGTCATCATCCAGGCAATTAATTCCTTTTCATCCTGTTGGACTAATACACATCTGTGAAACCCTCTCCACCACCTATAAACAGGGGTGGGCTCCCTTCTCAGTGCTGCCGTGGCACATCACACAGCCCTCGATTATCTGACAGCATTTTAAAAATTTTAATTCATTATTTATTTATTTTTGCGGTACTGGGGATTGAACCCAGGGCACTTACCATGGTACTACCCCACTAGCCCTTGTTTATTTTTAAGACAAGGTGTCACTAAATTGCCCAGGCTGGCCTCAAACTTGGGATCCTCCTACCTCAGATTCTCCAGTATCTGTGATTACAGGTATGTGCCAACGGTTGCCAGAGGAAAGCACTTTTTTATGGGTTTTGTAAATATTTCCATCTGCCCATGTGAGTACTGGTTTGGATCTGCTATTTTTCTATATCCTAAACACAATAGCATAAATGCTAATATTTGTTGCATGAAAATAAATGAGCGTTGCCTGGGAATTTAATAAAAGGGGCAAAAATAAATAACCTGGTAGAATATTGTTGTTTGCTTAAGTGACTTTTAAGATACACAACAGGCATATTGTGTAATGACGTAGGATCCCTAGGTTTTAAGTTCTATAAGTCCTGTGCTATTCATCCTTCAAGATAGCTCAGGGGTGATATCTGCGAAGTGTTTGCTGTTTGCCATTTGACATCTGCTCTCTCACCGTTTCACCCGCACCGCTATCACCGTACCGCATCACTTACTCTCGCCTCCCCACCAGAATCCAGGTGTGTATTTCCACCTCTTGAACCCGAGGGGTGAATATTTGGGGGATGGTATTGTGCAGCCCTGGACCAGTGAATTCATTGCTCACTACACCTCCTGCCTCAATTTCCCCACTGTGACCGGCACAGAGGAAATCTTCCGGGGACTGCGATTTAGTGTCGGGTGGGCGGACACCGAGGTGCACCAGGGGCAGGTGGAGCGGCGCTAGGCGTCTGAACCCCGCGCTGCGCCTGGCGCGGGACGAGACGGGGCGGGGAGTTGGCCGAGGGGCGGGGCAGGCAGGAGCGCGGGGCCGACGGGCGGGACGTTGAGGGGACTCGCGAGCGCCGGCGATGGGCCCAGCCGCGAGGCTGGCGGCGCTGCTGGCGGTGCTGGCGCTCCGGGCCGAGGACCCGGCGGGGGTAGCGGCGCGAGAGGACACGTTCTCGGCGCTGACCTGCGTGGCGCGCGCCCTGGCGCCCGAGCGCCGGCTGCTGGGGCTGCTGCGGCGCTACCTGCGCGGGGAGGAGGCGCGACTGAGGGACCTGACCAGGTGAGGGCGTGGAGGGTGAGCGCCGCCGAGGACCCTGAGTGGCAGACACTGTGGCCTGGGGTGGGGAGTGACTCTGAGGCTCAGTGTGACCTACAGAGCCACTGTCACTGTATGCGGGACCCTTGGACACCGTGGGGGAGCTGTTTCATACTGCACACCATGTGGGAACACACACACACACCAGATGCAGCCTCACACAGAGAAATTGATACTCTGTGGGAAAGTGTGGCGGGGTGACTGTCTGTAGGGCCAAGTGGGACCTCACAAGAGCTGTGTCGAGCTGTGTGGGACCTCAGGCTCTGTGTCACATTGCCACAGGCACGGGAAATGTTGCATTGAAATAGAGACACTGCCAGAGTGAGTTGGTGTGAGAACAGGGTGATGCTGTATCTCAACGTGTATTGGATTTTCTTTTAAATTGTAGATGGACACAATACCTTTATTTTATTTATTTATGTTTGTATGTGGTGCTGAGGATGGAACCCAGGGCCTCACACATGCCCAACAATTGCTGTACCACTGAGCTATAGCCACAGCCCTGTGTATTAGCTTTTTGAGCCCCCACTGTGAAGTACTATGTGACCCAGCAAACTGATGTTTAGTATGAGGAATCAGATGACATTCTGCTACCACGTAAGAGATGGATGTGTCACTGGGACACAATATGGATATCATACTGTGCATATGAAAGATGACAAATAATTGTGCAGATCACTATATGAATAATGCTTTATTAATTCATCCAACACATATGTTTGAGTGCCCACTCTAAGCCCTGCACTGTTCCAGGCACTGGGGATAAAATGGTGAAAAGACCTAACTATGTCATAAAAGAGTTTGGGTCTTTAGCACTATTATTCTATTATTGTTAATCAAAGATATATTTTCTCTCCCTTGTTTTCCTCTCTCTCTCTCCCAGGATTGAAATCAGGGGCATTCAACCACTGAGCCACATCCTCAGCCCTTTTTCATATTTTTTATTTAGAGACAGGGTCTTGCCAAGTAGCTTAGGGCCTTGCTAAATTGCTGAGGCTGGCTTTAAACTTTCAATCCTTCTGCCTCAGCCTCCAGAGCTGAGCCATTGGAATTACAGGTGTCTCCCACCCCCTACCGTGCCAAACTTTCCTTCTCTTTACACACGAAAAAGCTGCTCAGGTGGTGGGTGGGAGCCTCCAAGGAGCCTGGGTGGGGAGACATTGTTTCTTGAGGTTGGGAGTAACTCTAAGGCTCAGTGTGATCTCCAAACCTACTAAATACTAAATAAATGGTAACTGAGATGTTATATGTGTGTGAAAGTATTTGACACCAAGAAAACACTTTGAAAAGCCCTACTTGATGCTAGAAGATATTGAGGGTAGCATTAATAGGCAGATGCTCAGTTTTTTGCTATCCAAGCAAAAAACTACACAATATGGGATAAATTATTATAAAGCTGGGGATTCTGGGACATGATGATCATGTATTAACTCAGCGTCAAATGATGAAAGATGAATGTTTGTATATAGTACCATATGTATCACTATGTGTTATGCCTTCTCTGCTTGGGACATTGAGAAACCCACAACCCTGTAAGAAGCAGTGATTGTGACCATCTCGCTATTCAGCATGCTAAAATTGTACTTATACAAGTGACCCTGTCAGATGTATACAGCTGAGACAACACAATGAGCTGTTATAAAACTTTCAGTGAGGGCTGTGGTTGTATCTCAGTGGTCAAGTGCTTGCCTATCACATGTAAGGCGCTGGGTTCGATCCTCAGAACCATATAAAAAATTAAAAAGATATTGTGTCCATCTACACTAAAAAAACTTTGAGTGTGTGTGATATTAATACTGATTCTGGAGTGACACGGGGAAAAGGTGTGTGGGACTCTGGCTGGCTGTGTGAGAGTCCATGTAGAAGAGAATTTGGAGATGTGTGAGCGGCTTGTCACAGTTTTGTCACAGTGGGAGGCCTTGCATAAACCTTATTTCATTTGATTCTCACAATGCTTAGGTTTGTTTTATGCTCTTAGTAAATGAGAGATCATCTAGTAGCTTGTCCAAGATTATAAATCTAGGAGCTAGCAAATCCATGATAGGATATAGTTCTCTTGACCCTGTTTACCCAATGTTCTTTCCATCATGCTGCAATGTCCGTCCTGCTTGCTTTGTCTGATATGCCAGGACACAGACCAAGCCCCATAACTGCAGGAGGTTTTGTTAGTGGCCAGAGTATGTGATGGCTCAGTGCCTGGATTCAAGAGTTCAGTAGACCTCTGTTTAAATTCTAGACTCTGGCCTTGGACATGTTCCCTTATCCCTTGAAGCTTTAAGCAGCTTGTCTATCAAATAATGATAAAAATAGTGCTACCCCCCTCATAGGATTGTTGTAAGGATTGATTACTGTGTAAAGGTATTTATCATTGTGTGTGACATGTAATAATTACTTGACAAATGTTAATGCTACCTGATTATTGTTCATTAGGACTGGCTGATGAAATTAATCCCCACTGTTGGCTCTAAGCATTTGCTAGAATTCTAAGAGGCCAGATAGAAAAAACAATTAGAAAAGTTCTAAATCTGTTTCTCAGATAATTTATGAACATTTTATTTTGTAAAGTTTGATTAAGTTGTAAAATTGTGAAGTTTGATATTTTGGAGACTCTAATTCTGTTCTCTAGTTATACTCAAAAACCCAGTGAAATATTTGCTTTTTAAAACCTGAATTTTGGGCAGTTTCTGCTCGCTTTTCTGTACCTCCAATATGGTAATCTTATGTAATTTCAGATGTTATTTCTAAAGCCCCCAGTTTATATTTTTTGAATTTCTAAGTTGGGAAATGAAATATTTTTGAATGTTGAAACGACTCCCTACCCCAAGTAAATGAATAAAATTTATACTAGTTATAGTATCTATCATTATATTCTAGCATAATCCATATATTACCCATACATATATAGTTAACCTATAGTTTTTTTTTTTGTTGTTGTTGCAGTTTAAAAACTATGAAGTGTGAATAGATTTAGAATTAGAAACAATTTTTTTCTGGACTAAGAATTAAGTATTCAGAATGTCTCAGAAGCACTGAGACAAAGCCATTTCTGAGTTTCAAAGAAGAAACACACTGAGTTGAAACAGCCATGTCCTGGATCAGATAACCAACCAAGGCTATGTTTTATGCAGGAAATGGGTTGCAAATTTTCTGTGCAAATTCTTGAAGAAAAGGATCAGATTTTCCACTCTCAGAAACGTTTGTTAAAGCAAAAAGCCATTTAAGAAACCCTGAGGTTTGAATTCAGCATCCCATAACTCAGTCTCTGGAAGCTAGCTATTTGCTCAGACACTGGGCATAGGGCCAATTTTTGGATTCCAAACCAACCTCAGATTTCAGTCAATATATTTTTTCCCCTTTTTTCTTTGTGGAACAGAAAAAAAAAAAAAAAAAAAAAACCCAGCATATTTGAACAGTGGATTGGGTTGATGTGCTCTAGTAAAGATCAAACTCCTGACCTAAACAAATCAACCCCAAAATGGAAAGTGGGGTGAAAGAAAACAAAGATATAGACAGTACTTTTAATTTGATGGATGGCTTAGAGCAAATATTCATCTCTCTGCCTTGCTTCTTTCCCTTCATGCCTCAGTTTTCTCAGATGCCTGTTAAAAGTTAGTCTTTAAGCTAATGAGGAGTCTACTCAGTCGTGGTCAAGGTGGGGGAAGAAATAATGGAATGTGCGTGTCGAAGGGACATATAGAGACCTTCTAGACTAGACTAACTTTTTATTTTATAGAGTTTGAAACTGAAGGTGGGTTGGAGACTGCGTCCAAGTAAGTCTCGGGCCTCCTCCCCGCTCTTCCCTGTCCAACATCTTATAAAATCACTGCCTACTCAGTCTCAATTGTTCCTGGACTTGCTTTTTAAGCTGGGTTCGGCCCAAGTCTCTGCTTGTACATTTTTTGTCGTCTAGCAGTGGAATATCTTTTACTAAATAGTTCCATATGGAGCCAAAACAGGAAATAATGGGCAGTGAAATGATCCCACACCCTGGAGGCTGATTTAGTTTCAAAACCCTGGAGTAGCAGCTCACAGACTGCCCTGTCTTTGGGATCAGAGACATCCCGGAACTTGACAGACATCCCATGTCCTGCCTGGGTCACCCAGGCCCAGGTTCTTGTTCCTTAATTTATGTTGAATTGAACATTCTTCTTCCCAGAAACTTCTGGGCTAGTCACTTCTGTTTCAGGCCCCCTTTCTTAGTTGAGAGCCCCAGTCTTTAGAAATCCTCAGATCAGACTCTGCATCCAGGGATTGAAATCCTTTTGCCCTGCTAGCCCTCTCTTCTTCTTGTTCATGCCATTCTACTTGCTCATTCTTCCCAAAAGACTCATAGTCTCATGTGTTCTTGGACACATTCATATTCTCACCTTGAACACATACTTTTTTTTCTTTCTGTTATTATATTATTTTTGAAATTAATAATATTTAGATAAAGGGAAAACACTCTAAAAGGACAGGACTAACATCCTTAACCTGCCCTATTAAATATAACCAATAGATTTCAATCATATAAATTCCATCAATGTGTTGGAAATAGAATGACCACAGTATGCCAGGAGAGAAAGCAGCATCTTTTGCTAATATGAACACTATTGTAGGACATACAAGGAAGAGATAGAATATTTGGAAAGAAGATCACTTCAGGTCCCATCATATCCAGCCCTTTTCTGCAAATGTCACCAATCTGAAAAGTTGGAAGTGAACTGGACAATCCCAATCTATTCCCCATTACAATCATCACCAGCTTCTACATTGTCTTCTTCCTGAATATCTCCCTTGAATCCATCCCATCTTTTGCCTCTGTAATCACTGTTGTAGACTCCCGTATCTCTTGTACAATTTTGAAGGGACCTCCTCCCTGGTCTTTCTGTCTCCAGTCCCTTCCACTTCTGAATCCTCCCCACCCTCTCATGGATTTATGTATGTAAAAATAAAGTGATTCCACTCTCACTTGTCTCTTAAAACCTCCCTTGACCTAATCTGGCCAATTAACCACCCTGTCTCTGTACTCCCCACTATGTCTTGTTCTTAAACCTGGTATTGCATCTGTAATATAATTATTTGTGTCTGTTTTACCCACTGGACTGTGAGTCCTTGAGGTCAGGTTTTTATTAAAATTTTTTTCCTCAGCTTCTATAAAAGTATATTTCATTCATTTTTGCATAGAAATATGAATTGAACTTGGGTACACACAGTGATGAGAAATATATTTTGGGGGGTCCATAAACTTTTCGTGCATTGGCTCTATCTTTCTTCTGTATTCCCACTATCCAGCGTGGAGTCTGACATCTAGAAACTAACCAGATAGATTAATAGGTTAAAATGAATAAATATAGGTCAAGTCTCTGCCCCTTTGTATACACTGACCCCTGTTGGCTCAAAGAAGATTGTTCCTCTCTTTGTTCAATCACCACAGGAAATGTGGCAGAATCAGCTGAGAACTCAGTCTTCTGAGTTAGGCAGACTTGGGTTCATTTCTGGTTTTGCCATTTACTAACAATGTGGCCTTGTTCCAGTTTCCTCTCCCATAAATGGGCAAAATAAATACACTAAGAGTTGTTGGGGGGATTAAATGAGGCAGTATATTAAAGAATGCCCAATCATGGTAAGGGCTTAGTAAGTAGTAACCACTGATATTTTAACAAATCCTTCAAGAATCAGATTAAATGCTCTCTCTTCTGGGAAGTCTTTCCTCACCTTTTCTAACTGGGTTAGATGAACTGCTTGCAAGCTCACATAAGATTATATGTTTAATTTCTCATAGCATGTGTCATAGTTATCATAATTTTTAAGAGAGAGAGAGAATTTTTTAATATTTATTTTTTTAGTTTTTGGTGGACACAACATCTTTATTTTATTTTTATGTGGTGCTGAGGATCGAACCCAGTGCCCCGCGCATGCCAGGCAAGCGCACTACCACTTGAGCCACATCCCCAGCCCCAGTTATCATAATTTATTCAACAGTGTTTTGAGTTTCTGCCAGACACTAAGTATTGTATATAGGGTGATAACAGAATAAAAAGACTTACTTTTAAAAAATTATTTGTATCTCTAAGACCTAGCATGACATACAGCATTTAGTATAGACTTATTCATTCAGTGAACAAACAAGTAGATAGACCTATTTTTAATTTTGTTACTGGGGATTGAACCCAGGGGCTCTCAACCACTGAGCCTATCCCCAGCCTGTCTCCCTTTTAAATATACCTTTATTTTATTTATTTACTTTTATGTGATGCTGAGGATCGAACTCAGGGCCTCACATGTGCAAGGCAAGTACTTTCCCACTAAGCAACAACCCCATGCCTCCACAGCCTTTTTTTGCATTTTATTTAGAGACAGAGTCTTGCTGAGTTCCTTAGGGCCTTACTAAGTTACTGAGACTGGCTTTGATTTTGTGATCCTTCTGCCTCAGCCTCCCAAGATGCTGGGATTACAGGATTACTGTGCCCAACAGACCTACTTTTAAAAAAATCTATTTTTATATTTATTTTTCATTGTTGATGGACCTTTATTTTATTTGTTTATTTTTTACGTGGTGCTGAGAATCCAACCCAGTGCCTCACACATGCTAGGCAAGTGCTCTACACTGAGCCACAACCACAACCCCAGACCTACTTTTACTGAATGTGTAGTTTTCATATTCTTTGTGCTTCCCTGGCTTTTTGGTTATCCTGTTACATGAGTTTCAAGAGGTTCAGAATTTCAGTTTTAGCTACTCCCCACCCCTGCTGCCCTTGGGATCAAATCCAGGGCCTGGTGTATGATAGGCAAGTGCTCTACCACTGAGCTATCCAGGGTGAAGTCTGACATCCCCCAGCCCCATTTTGTCCTTTACTCTTAATGTATGCACAGCATACAACCAACTTCCATGAGTGGAGTAGTTGTATCAGGAGGTGAGCTCATTCTACTCCTCTCTTTCAGGTTCTATGACAAGGTGCTTTCACTCCATGAGGACCCAGCAGCCCCTGTGGCTAACCCTCTGCTTGCCTTTACTCTCATCAAACGGCTGCAGTCTGACTGGAGGAATGTGGTACATAGCCTGGAGGCCAGTGAGAACATCAAAGGTAATGAGGAAGAGGGCTGGAGGGTGAGGGGGAAACTCCTGTCTTCTGACTCAGTCAGTGGTAAGGAGAGGAACTCTGGTGGGATGCGATGAAGAGTAATGGAGTGGGTACGTGTTAGTTGATGTTCTTAGCTCTTGTAAGTTCAAAGAATTAGGTCTTCTTGTTAGTAAGTTATATGATTGTGGATTGGAAAACACTTTCATGTCCATAGTCTCTGATCTTCACTATGATCCTGTGAGGATGTACAGGATCTATCATGCCATGGGTATGTGTGTGAAAGAGTGGTCTTCTGGTAGTTCCTATTTCACTAAGTTTTTGATGGGAAAATACAATGTCATCTGCAGCAAGAGTACTTTCCTAACTTATTCTACTTGTACTTTAAGAAGTTTGTTGGCTTTTAGAAAGTGAAGAGAAAGAAAAGTTGTCCCCCTGTAGGGCAAGATTCCTAGGGTTATAAGATGGGACAATATGGTGAGGGTGTATGCCTATTTTGTTCTTCATTTACTCATTCTAAATGTTCCTCTACCCTGTTCCAGTAACTGTGATTCCCAGGAACTGGGAACACAATACAAATAAAACCTTATCTCATGGAATATTTGAATGGGTGGTCATGCTTTGCAGGCATTAAATGCTTAATACTTTTTTTTTTTTTTTTTGATGGCACTGGGGATGGAACTCAGGGCCTTGTTCAAGCTAGGCAGGGGCTCTACCACTACCTCATCCCCAGCCCATTACCTGTTTGTTTTGAAGGATAAATTATGTTTTTACTAATTTTACAGTTCTTAAGGATGGTTATGAGAAGGTGGAACAAGACCTCCCAGCCTTTGAGGACCTTGAGGGAGCAGCACGGGCCCTGATGCGGCTGCAGGATGTGTACATGCTCAATGTGAAGGGCCTGGCTCGAGGTGTCTTTCAGAGAGTCACTGGCTCTGACGTCACTGACTTGTACAGTCCCAGACGGATCTTCTCCCTCACAGCAGATGATTGCTTCCAAGTAGGCAAGGTAATGGTATTCAGAGAGAAGGCCAATTGCTTAGCTCTAGTTGCTTGTGGATGAAATAAGTATGTCTGAATTGCTTTTACATATTTCTCATACTTACAGTAAACTTGGAAATTTGATATTATCCCCATTTGCAGAGAAAGAAACCAGATTCAGGGAGTGTAGATAATGAAGATTACACAATTCTAAGCAGCAAACTAAATTTTGAACTTGGTCTTTAAAACAAATCTCATGTTCTTTCCATGGGAAGGTGAGGTGATCATATACTTAGGATGCCCTTGAGAGTGAAATGGGTATTGTTAATTGTGCCAGGACAAAAGACATAAATTAGGCAAAATGATCCTTTGGTCACCCCAATGATTACCCCTGCTAGTAGATGAGCCACTGGGTGGAAAGGGAAAGCAGGCTGAATGGGTGGGGAAAGGGAGAAGATATGGTGATGTGAAGATAAGATCATGGAAACTCCGCCTCCTGAGACTTTCTGGAATCCTCTGCAATGTTTCCTAAGTATTTGGAAATACTAAATTAAATCAGTGTCAAAAAACTGAGGCCATTCACTGTAACATTACTTGGGGAAATAGACTTCAGGAACCTCTTATATGATGTGTTTAACTGGTCTTTGATCACAAGTTATAATCACACTTGAGATCATTTTATAATATACTCTTTGCCAACCTTTGCCTTAAGAAGTAATGGAGGGGCTGGGGTTGTAGCTCAGTGTTAGAGCGCTTGCCTAGCACAGATAATGCACTGGGTTTGATTCCCAGCACAACATAAAAATAAACAAACAAAATAAAGGTATTGTATCTGTCTACAACTAAAAAAAAAATTAAATGAAGCAATGGAGTAAATGCTTTTTAATTTTAAGGTGCATATTAAAAGGAAGTGAATTTTTCCTGACTTCTACAATATTCATTAGCAGATCTGATAGTGGGCTTTGTAGGTCCTACTTCAAACTTTTAGGAATCAGTTTCCAAATTACCACTACAGAGTAGGTAACCCTGGGTCTCTCTACATACTATTTTCCCTTTCTGAGGTCCTGAGTGGAATCAGACCCCAATTGTCATGTTCATGGCTAATTTAAATTTAAGTCAGTTAAAGTAGTTTGATGTATGGTACCAATATGAGCTTCATCAGTGAGGCCTTTCTGAAACTAAAACCGTATGTTGAAAATTTAGTAAATCACTCTGGAAAAACTTCCTGGCAATCCTTATTTCTATATTTATCTATTTATTTTGAAAGGTAAAACATTACAAATATCAGAAGAGTACATGAAATAATATAACAAGTAACTTTATAATTAAAATTATATATGTTCGAATTTTGCTGTTTCAGCATTTTTCTTAGATTTTTTTTTGTTTTGTTTCTGGTACCTGGTATTTTCCTTTTTTTCCTTGAAAATATATAATAAAATGATTTTTGTATTTTGTTTAAAATATCTAAATATTTCTGGAAGAATTTCAGTTATTTCAGCTGACTACATTGCTAGAACTTAAAGCTGCTCATGGAAGTATTCATTAAATAAATAGTTAAATAAATAAATAGCTATTAAATAAATAAATAGCTCAGTGGTAGAGTGCTTGCCTAGTATGCAGGAGCGTCTGGGTTTAATCCTAGCACCAGAAAAAAGAATAAAATAAAATAAAAGGTTAACTTAGTAGAAAAAGTTCAGTCATTTTTTAAATGTTATTCTTCAGCTCAATCCTTTCACAAAGAGGAAACTTGAGGAACAGAAATGTAAAACAGAAGGTTAATGGAAGTCCTAGGATGGGAATTAATTTACTATTTAGGCTACAAGCTGCCATATCTCTAGGTTCCATTCTGTCAGGATGTTACACCTGAATTTTGTAAGAGTTTTTCCAACTCTGTGACTGTAATTCCATGTTGTTTCCAGTAATGACTTCCAGGAAATTCCACCTTCCGGTCTGGTTTTCTAGTTAGCGTAAGCTATTAGGAGACAGGAGCTATGCTTGGCACATGTTGCCATATTGCCCAGCATTCTGACATTTAATCAGAACAACTCCACTGAGCTGCCACAGCATTCCCATCTCTGCCTTCACTGCGGTGTCTAATGCATTTGTCACAATGATTGGTTTGCTCTTGTACCCTCATTTGATTCAAGTTCTTCAAGGACAAGGACCACCAAGAATATAACGCTCAGCAAATACTGAATAAGTAAATAAATTTAATCCATTTCTCACATTGCCACCAGTAATATCTTCCTTAACAATGTGACATTTAAGACTGTAATTAGCTTAGCTCACGTTCCTTATGTTTATTTTCTGTTTCTATGGAACATATTCTGTCTTTGACTTCTGTTTTTGCCATTCTCCCTTTTTTTATTTTGATACATGGGATTAAACTCAGGGGCACTCAACCACTGAGCTACATCTCCAGCCCTTTTTAATATTTTATTTAGAGACAGGGTCTCACTGAGTTGCTTAGGGCCTCACTAAGTTGCTGAGGCTGGCTTTGAACTTGTGATCTTCCTTCCTCGGCCTCCAGAGCTGAGCCTCTGGGATTACAGGTGTGCACCAGCACACCCAGCCCATTTTCCCATCCTAAAATGCTCTTCTTCCTTACTTCTGTTCTTGAAACCTTTTCCTTCTTCAAAGAAGGCTATCTCAGATGCCGTTTCCTGCATGAACCTTAGACTCCCAAGTCTCCTCACTTCTCTATCTCTCCAAAGCATATTATGCGTTTTCCTTCAAGCATTCCTACCATTCCGTTATGGTTTCTTGAGTTCATATCTCTTTTCTCTCACAGATTATACAGTCCTTAAATGCAACAACTCTTGTGTCTCCTCTCCACCTTGTACAATGCCTTGTATATAATAGATGTTCAGTAAATCAAATTAAAATTAATTTAAGGTTAAGACTTGCCTTCTTGGGTTCCAAAGGCTGTTTTACTCTTTAAATCATCATTTCCTTTCCTCTGCCTGTGGACTAAGCCTTTAGTAGTGGTACTTGTGTCCCTGCAGGTGGCCTATGACATGGGGGATTACTACCATGCCATTCCATGGCTGGAGGAGGCTGTCAGTCTCTTCCGAGGCTCTTATGGGGAGTGGAAAACAGAGGATGAAGCAAGCCTAGAAGATGCCTTGGATCACTTGGCCTTTGCCTGTTTCCAGGTAGGGGAGTGAGTGAAGCTCACTGCTTGTATCATAATAAAGGTAATGCTTTACATCTGCTTTACAACTTTCTAAGCATTTTCTTGTCTCTTAATTTATTTCATCTTCCCAATAGGACCAAGTGGGAAGGGCATTTATTTTATTATTTCCATATATCACATGTGAGTAAACGGAGTCTACAAAAAAATTCTAAACTTATCATGAAGCTCATATTAGGAGGCAATTAGTTTGGTCATGGTAGCTGTAGATCACTTGTTTGTGCTCTCAGCAACTCATAGCTCTTCACAGACATTGTGTCATGATGTTGCCATGGAGGAAGAAGTTTGAGTGCTCTCCCACTGAATCCGGCTGTAACATGTCTGGTGTCTGTCTCCAGAGCTGGCGTTTTTGTGCTGTAGCACCAGCCTCAGTGCCTCATGCAGCTGTCATCTTCCCTTGGCACTGTTGAAGGACTACTTGCTGTGCCTCACTTAGAGGTTCAGTTCCCTAAGTACACAGCTGCCATCTTTTTGTATTGTTAACCCATTTCTCACTGGAGTTGTGCAGTATTCAAGAATAGGCTGAAAAAAAATCTCTATGGAGTCAGTTCCCTGGTTTCCAAAGCTAATAAACCATTTTTATTTCCTTAATTCCTTTTTTATTTTATTTTATTTATTTTTACAGTGCTGGGGATTGAGCCCCGGGAATGCTAGGCAAGCACTCTTTCACTGATCTAAACCCTCAGAACCCCCGTATTCCATTTTCTTTCCTTGTTTTCCTAAGAAAAATGAGGGTGGTGTGGGTGGTTCAAACCCACATGTTACTGTGAAAACAGTCGTATCCTCAGCGCAGCTGATACTGTTCACTCATGGAAGCTCCTGAGTCTTTATTGTAAAATGTCTGTGTGCTTTTCTTTACTCTCCTACTTAATGGCTGCATGTTAAAGTGAAAATGGAATAGTTATGATGTGATAAAGGGGGAGAAGATTTGAGTTTCAATCAAGGAAGAAAATGGAGATTTGATGTAGACAGACTTAGAGAAGGTAGCCTGATGTAGCACATCCCAAAAGATGAGATGTTAAATACAGTGCCCAATTATTATTATTTTGTATTATGCAAAGTGTTTGCAGTGCCTGGATTTCAGTGGGGGTCATTTTTATCACATTGCTCATTGCATATCATATTTTAATGTGCATATTGCTTTTATCACTAAAATGAATTCTTAATATGCTAAAGTAAGATGAAAGGATTGAAAAGATATTTTTTATCAGCTAATCATCATTTGGAAGCACCCAAAGGAGGATTGCACCCCACTGTATGGGATTCTGTTGCCCAGATTGGTCTAGAAATCTCCTATTTCCTTTTGACCAGTTGAGCTCAAGGTTGAATGGCTGCAGGGACAATTAATTCTTATGCATTGGGGAATGTTTCTCTTTTGGTTCGGAGAAACATTTGCTTCCTTCCTCTGACTTTCTATACCCTAGAAATAAATTATAATTTTAATAGAGTTTTTATAGTTTCATTTAAATTTAATAACAAAATACCCCGTCATTATATCATTTTGCATACTTTGAGATTTGAGTGCCTTAAAGGAAGCTTATCTTAATTTATTTTTAAGAAATTTTTACTAAATTACCCTTGTTCTTCTGGTAAGGGTGGTAGTAAATCATTTATAAGTGAGGAGTCTGAGGACACCTGATTTTTGCAGCAGAGTCACAAATTCTCTACATCTCTAGCCTGCTGCTTCTTTCAAAGAGCCTTATTATCTACTTGATAACAAGAATATTTTATAGTTTAAAAAATGTCCATTGAATGATTTGGTCAGAGAGTATATCTTTAATACAGTTAACACTTTCTTTTCTTTTTTTAATAAGGCAGGAAATGTTTCGTGTGCCCTGAGCCTCTCCCGAGAGTTTCTTCTCTACAGTAAGTGATGATAAGATAATCCAGCCATTGGTCTGACTTTTGCTTTTGGCCTGTAATCCCTGCAAAGTAAAGTACAGTTATCTATTTTCATTCTTTTAATTTTGTTGTCTAAAGAACATTTCAAATTTGGGTGAGATCTCATGTATATTCACATCAGTGCACTGGGAGAAATTTGTAAGTCAGTTGGAAAATGCAGAGATGTCAACCTGTCCCTTCCCAGCTTGTTCTTCAAAGGGAACAAGCCTAGGCTGGGAACCAGTTTCTTCAGAGACATTTTATTTTATTTTATTTTTTATTGGTTGTTCAAAACATTACAAAGCTCTTGACATATCATATTTCATACATTTTGATTTAAGTGGGTTATTAACTCCCATTTTTACCCTGTATACAGATTGCAGAATCACATCGGTTACACATCCACATTTTTACATATTGCCATACTAGTGACTGTTGTATTCTGCTGACTTTCCTATCCACTACTATCCCCGCTCCCCTCCCCTCCCATCTTCTCTCTCTACCCCATCTACTGTAATTCATTTCTCTTCCTTGTTTTTTTTTCCCTTTTCCCCTCACATCCTCTTATATGTAATTTTGTATAACAATGAGGGTCTCCTTCCATTTCCATGCAATTTCCCTTCTTCTTCAGAGACATTTTAAAGACCTAGGTTTTGGAAGACCCAGGAATGAATGAAATCAATGTGTGCTGTGTGTGCAGGAAGGAGCATGATTCAGAGGATTATTCACTTTGGCTGTTTACAGAGAGCTATCTGTTCTTTCCTTTAAAACCAGAGCTCACTTTGCTAGGCGAGCACCCTGCCCAGGTGGTTACAGTTCAGCTTCATTCCCCTTCAGGGAGAGCCTTACCGATAACAAAATGAGTTCAACTGGAGGAAGACGCTTCCTGTCTCAGCTTGGATAATTTTGCTTAAAATTTTGGTAGTGAATGGCTTCCTAGGTTTTCTTTTAATAAGGTATTTAGATACTCAAATAAGACACAAAAGCTATTTTAATTGTCCTAATATTTATAAGGTATTTCATGTAGGACTTTATAACTGTATTTATTCAGTACTTCTTAATGAATCCATTTAGTAAAGTCTGCTCTCCACGTCTGTGAACCCAACCACCCAATCAACTTCAGATTGAAGATGGTTGAAAAAAATGGTGTCTGTTCTGAACACGTACAGAATTTTTTTTTGTCATTATTCATTAGGTGATAACAGTAAAACAACTATGTAATAGCATTACATTGTATTGTGTATTACAAATAATGTAGATGGGGCTGGCATTGTAGCTCAGTAGTAGAGCACTTGCCTAGCACACATGAGGGACTGGGTTGGATCCCCAGCACCACATAAAAATAAATAAATAAATACATCTACAACTAAAATTTTTTTTAAAAAGAAAAATAATAATGTAGAGATAATTTAAAGTTTATGGGAGGATGTGCACAGGTTATATACAAATACTATATCATTATATATAAGGGGCTTGAACATCTATGGATTTCTGGAACCAGTCCCCTGTGGATACAAAGCAATGACTGTAACAATTATTCCTTTCTGATAATTTGGCGAACAGTAGGATATGGAAGTTATTAAGTGGTCTGGAAACTCATGAGCATTACTAATATAAACAAAATTAAAACTCAGCCTTCCTTTATTTCTTTGTGCTTGATCTATTAAAATCTGTGTCTCGGGGGCTAAAGTTGTGGCTCAACGGTAGAGTGCTCGCCTAGCATGTGCAAAGCCCTGGGTTTGATACTCAGCACCACATAAAAATAAATAAAATAAAGGTATTGTGCCCAACTACAACAGAAAAATAAATATATTTTTAAAAATCTCTGTCTCTCCCCCCAAAATCAAAATTGTGTGCTATCACAGGTGAGTAAATAGGGCTTAGTAAGTTGAGGGTCCCAACTCATTCTAGCTTTGCAGTATTTTTCACTTGAGTTTGGGCTCATCATTTCCATTCTCCAAAATCTGATTTTTCCTTTTGTTAGCAAGGAATAGTAACTTCTGCGCACTCCTTTGCTCTTTTGCCAGGGTGGTTGTGGTGGTTAGAAGCACACGGGGCTCTTCAGACACTTTGGGAGCATTAGAACAATTCAGCACCTCCTTCTGAGATGCACTGAGAGTCATACACAGAGGCCAGCGGGCCATGGGTAGCTGCCAACCCATGGGACATCTTGCAGCCAAAGTGGGCACAAACAGGTGGGCACAAGCAAGACTCAGGGTTTCTCAAGGGCTTGTGGGAATTAGCCTAGAACCCAGATCTAAAATCCCTTTGTCTCATATTGCACTGCTCTAGGCCTAGGCCTGTTAGGAATGCTGAGGGATCTAATGGAGCCGAGGATGAATTAGCTTCGGGTTCCCCAGGGAAGAACAGGTTGGGTCGCTGTGCCATAGGCTTTGACTCTCTGGACTTCCGTTTGTTGTCCTTACCATGTTTTTTCTTCTTTTTAAAAAATATATCTTTATTTTATTTACTTATTTATTTTTATGTGGTGCTGAAGATCAAACCCAGTGCCTCACTGAGCTACAACCCCTAGCCCCTGACATGTTTTCTTCTAAGCTGTCATTAGACTCTGAATTCTGGGAGGTTAGCCTCTAGCACAGTATCTGGTTGTTTATTGAGCATTTATTGAATGGATGGGTAATGAATGAATGAACAAATTAATGAATGAAGTTTCTATTCTATGGATAAAACTAACCATAATGCCATCCCAGAACAGTCATCTTCATGGTCCCTGGATCTAAGAGTGTAGGTACCACCTTCCTTCCCAAAACCTTTTGCACTTTCAGATCCACCGGGTGCAAGTCAGTCTTTTTTAAATACCAGATTCTCTTCTGGGAATATGGGCACTGACAAGGAGTTATTCAGAATGTCCTAGAGCCAGTCCTCTGTGACAGTAAAGTTGCAGGAAATCTTGGTAGCACTTTCTGGGGCTAGTGTTTGTTAATCTGTATTATTCCCTGCTCTGATTTTCCCCAGGCCCAGAAAATAAGAGGATGGCCAGGAATGTGTTGAAATATGAAAGGCTCTTGGCAGAGAGCCCCCACCAGGCTGTAGCTGAGACTGTCATCCAGAGACCCAGAGTACCTCACCTGCGGACTAGAGACACATATGAGGAGTTGTGTCAGACCCTGGGCTCCCAGGTAGGATTCCTCAGGAAAAAAGAAAGGGGATAGGCCTGGCTACAGAGTGAGAAGCTAGAATTTGGACAGTGAAAAGGGGAAAAGCTGATGCCTTGAAAAACAATAAAGCTCCCTTGGACAGTATCCAAGTAACCATATTCAATATCTCTCAAATTCCTGGTTTTATGCTTTAGTTCCCCTAAGATTATTTCACTCTTAGGTCCATCTTCTTTTATGCTGAGTCTATTTTTTCCTTCCAGCCCATTCAATACCAGATCCCTAGCCTCTACTGCTCCTATGAGACCAATTCCAGCCCCTACCTGCTTCTGCAGCCCATCCGGAAGGAGATCATTCACCTAGAGCCCTATGTTGCTCTCTATCATGACTTTGTCAGTGACTCAGAGGCTCAGAAAATTCGCGAGCTTGCAGAACCATGGGTGAGTGTCCCCAAATCTCCTGTGTCTTCACGTGCCTGGAATTCAGAGCTTGAGAAAGGAAGGCTCCACAGCTAGTCCCTTCATCATCCAGGGGTTCAGAATGCCAGCCAGCCCATAAGATGGTGGAGGAAATCACAACAGCAGTTGCCTCTAGAGGGAAAGGATTAAGTGGAATGAGGTGCCAGAGGATTTTTTCTAGAATGTTGAAAATGTGCCCTCAGTATCTTCTTAAGAGTGTGGAGTCCATAGCTGTACACAGTTGTCAAAACTCAGCAAATGGGCTGGGGATGTGGCTCAAGCGGTAGCGCACTCGCCTGGCAGGCGTGCGGCCCGTGTTCGATCCTCAGCACCACATACAAAGATGTTGTGTCCGCCAAAAACTAAAAAATAAATATTAAAAAAAAAAAAAAAAAAAAAAAAAACTCAGCAAATGGTCCACTTGAGGTCTATGCTTGTCATTGTACGTAAATCTCACCTCAATAAATAAAAAGGAAACTTCCCCAAACACCAGCCATTAATTAGTAGAAGAAATGGAAAACATGACAGGGACAAGGAATAAAATCCTAATACATATTTACAGACTGACAGCTGGAAAGATTATTTAGTTCAACTTCATAATCTTGTTAAAGAGGGAACTAAGGCCCAGGGAGAGGAAAGTCATACATGTAGCAATGTCATTACTGACACTTAGAGGTAGATTGGTTGCCATTCTGCTATTCTTGTAGCCTAAGTTACGTGTGGTAACAAGCAGCCCCTGAATCTAGTGACAGTCCCCACATTACATGTCTGTCCTGGGTGGGCTGCAGCTGTGCCCTCCCATCTCCACTCTGGGACCCAGCCTGGCAGAGCAGCAAATATGGACTGGAGGGAGAACAGCAATAATCGTTTTAACCCAAAGTCTCTCTGGGCAAGTCTGGAATCTTTGTACATGATGTTTTTGAAATGATCAAGCTCTATTGGTGATGGGACAATATATTTTCAATAGCGTCAGCAGTCACATTTGGCCAGCAGTGGCTTTTTACTCAGAACAGCTCTGTTGCTATGGTATGGGACAGGTGGCCCACCCAGAGATGTTCATGGAATCCTTCAGGACAGGTCTTCCATGTGGCACACAAAAGCCTTACCAGACTCCCTTCCCCCAGAAGTTATGGATGCCTGACTGGCCTTTGATTCTTCCAGAAGTAAGCCCTGGGTTTGTGTGGCAGTGTCCCGCCAACCCCCCACTCCCCACAGCTGAGCACAGAAGCTGCAGAGGCTTGAGTTGGATTTACCTGTTTCCTTTCCGCTGTATCTTTCCAAAGCTTGCTCTGTCATCACTTCTCTATCCACATCCTGCCCACCCTGGAAGATTCTGTTAAAACCCCACGCCTCCCTAGGGCCTGCTAGTCCTAACTGCTCTGGTCTACTTTCATTGGTTCTTTGAGTGACTCTACATTTCAGAGCACTTTGGTGGGGGCAGCACATGTAATAATGCATTCCTCCTCTGAACTCAAAATTTTTGTCATGAGTTGTTTGGTAATTAACTTTTAAATTTTGGTACCAAGAATTGAACACAGTGGCACTTAACCACAGGGCCACACTCTGTCCCTTTAAAAAAAAATTTTTTTTTTTTTGAGACTGGGTCTCATTGAGTTGCTTTAGAACCTCATTCAGTTGCTGAGGCTGACTTTGAATTCATGATCCTCCTGCCTCAGTCTCCTGAGCGCGTGCCACCATCCCAGCTAGTCTACCGTTTATATGTTGTTTGATGTTAGTAGCTGTTTCATGGGTTTAGTACTCTGTCTCCCTGGCCACGCTATAAACTAGCAAGCATCATGTATTGTCTTTCTTAAAATGCCTTTGCCTGTGTTGTGCCTCCTGCAGTCAGCGTAATCTTTAAAAGCCAGATTTCCTTCTAAATGCCTTGCTTTTAACTCTTTAATGGGTCACTGTGTCCTTAAATGTTTACAAAGCGCCATGGCCTGACTGCTGCTCACCCCTTTCACCACATCTCCCTCTTGTACTTGACACTCCACTGCAGGGAGCTTTCTTTTCTGTAAATGGCTTGTGCTGTTTCTTCTTTCTGCCTGCAAAACTCTTGATGTCTTTTTACCTGTATGATTGCAATGGGTCTTATGGATATCCTGGGAAGCCTTCCTATCCCTGTAAGAGTGGCCTAGATGCCCATCTTTGTATTTCCACAGCACCCTGTACTTGCTGTTATGGCCCCATTATATGACATGTGGTCAAGGACTCTGGGTTAATGTATTGTTCTTCCAATGCATAGCAGAATACTTAGGACAGAAGACAACAAATAAATTGAATGACTTGGAGGTAAACAGTAAATGAATGTTAAAGGAGTTAGGTACAGAGTAGCTCCTTAATTGGAGAATTTTTAAAAATATTTTTTTTGCTTGTTGATGGATCTTTATTTTTTTTAATTTACATGCGGTGCTGAGAATTGAACCCAGTGTCTCACATGCGAGGCAAGCGTTCTACCACTGACCACAACCCCGGCCCAGGATTTTTTTTTTTAAGTCCTTGATTTTGCCCTAAAATAACAGAAGGAAACATCTTTCATCTGTCCTTTTTGAATTCCTCCTCTCTCCTCTATGCATATCCCAGGAAGAGATACCAGGAACGATTAGTGAAGGATGGATAGAGGTAATATCAGTCACCTGATTCCCTGCATCCTAATCTTATGGAACAACAGGCCAAGGAATGTGTTGAGGTGCTGTGTAGACTGTCCCCACTAGAATCCCAACTGCCTGGGAAGCACCAGGGCTGGCTGAGTCCTGGGAGTACCTTTCAGCACAGGGCACTGTTTTGTTCATCTGTTTGTTTGCTTAATCCATACTGAGCACCTCCCTGCCCAGCTCTGTACCCTGGGGGCACAGCTGTGAAAACAGACCAAGACCTTGCCCTCACAGAGCTGCTACTCTGATGACAGAAGCAGAAGTAGACACATCCTCGTGTAAATAAGTAATGTTTATCTTTCGGTCCCTCATTCAGTGATTTTGCCATTAGGAGGTACTTTATGAAAAATTATTTAAGAGCTATATATAACCAGATATTCACAACAAAATAGAGACATTGAGTTAAATCAGTGACTTCAAATTGTTTATAGATTTTTCCTCATCAAGGCAGTTGAAGTAAAAGGGATTGTGCTTCTCTGTGAGGAAGGGCTTTTGTTAGAATCATTCAAATGAAGCAGCTGCCTCTGAGCACACACTTTGCTGTTATGGAAGGAGCTCATTTAATTCAACAAACACCAAGTGCAGCCTACCTTATGTGAGGGCTGGTGACCCACACTGTGCTATACAAAGAAGGATGAGAAATAGCCCTTGTTCTTATCACAGACTAACAGACACAAAGTAGATTCAAGAATCAGTTCATTTCAGTTAGACAAACTTTTATTAAGTGCTTGCTAGCTGCCAGATCCTGTGGTTAAGGATAAGATTTTTGGTCACTTGTTTTGAGTTTTTTCATTTTCAAGACTGACCCATCCCTAAAATAGTACCATGTGCAAAATATCTTCTAATGACTAAGGAACTGGCTATTGTCTATGTTTGTGCTTCCATAAAGGGCATGTCTGTGGGCATGACAGCCCCTCCCCATGCATCATAACTGCCTGGACTTTGTCTCATGTCCTTCCCACCAGCTCCAGAGATCAGTGGTGGCATCAGGGGAAAAGCAGTTGCAAGTGGAGTACCGTATCAGCAAAAGGTAAGAGGAGCCCTTCCTCTCAGACTCCTGGGCCCAGGCACAGCTGACTGCCCGGTTGGCAAGGACACTTGGAGACCCTACAGGTCAATGTTGAAAATGTTATATATCTCTACATTCTTTCTGAGAGGAAGAAGTTTCCACTGTCCTCACTCGAGTTTGTTATATTTCTGAGGAATTCATGAGGGAGGCCATGAGGGAAAGACTTGAAAAAAACTCCTTTGCCTTCCACCCCAGAATAAGCATATAATTATTCTTCTAACCAGGATCACTTTTCCAGAGAATTTCTGCCTGCATTTGTAATTTGACTTTATAAGGTTCCATTCCCACCTCCTGATTCATATGCAAGCACAGCTTGCCAACATTCAGCAAAAGGGATGAATAGACTTCCAAGACCTCAGGGCTTCTCCAGAGGAAGAGATTCAACTGTGGGAGTCCAGCTTTTCCTCTTCCCTCGACCCCTGCCCTCCCCTTGAATCCCTTATTTGCACTGAGGGGACTGATGATACAGTAGGAGGAAAAAAAATCTCCCTCTAAGCCACTGGAGACAGGGAGACAGCGTTGGCAGCCTCCCTGGGGAGAGACCAGATCTCAGAATGGATGGTTAGTTTGCGTTGCCTAGGAAATGAGGTGAGAAATGAAAGCTTTCATTCAGAATCATTTTGGCCTAACTGGTACCTTTAGCATCAGGAGTTATTCACCAATATTTAAAAGGTCTGTGTGACCTCAACTTCATTGTCTTTTCTAACCTTTCTGAAATTCTTGTGTTAAAGAATATTCAATCTTCTATTTAGATTTGTTTCCTTTAGGGGAATAGGTGATATTTTCTTTTCAGATCAGACTACCTCCATCCTCTCACATCACTCCTTAATCCTCTGAATTTTGGTTCTGTCCTCATAACTCCACTGGAATTGGTCTCTCAGAAGTCCTTGGGGAGCTCTGAATTGCCAAATCATTTTCTTGCTCACAACCTTTGTTACAGAGCAAGGGCCTGCCTGTGGGGCCAAGTAGCTGCAAAGGTGAGGCATTGTGGAGGTCCAGTTCTTGGGATAACACCAGAGAGCTTTCAAACATGTTGTTCAGAGGCATGAGTTTATTAGAAGGAATAGGAGAAGGGGACATTCTCAAGGGAGAGAGTGGGTCCTTACAGAGAGGAGAAGGGCCACATCCTACTCCTGCCCTCCAGTTCTGTTGAGGGTCCCAGAGAAGTTTCCAGAGAGTCCCACACAGGTCCACCTCTTGACTTTTGACTTCAGCAGGATTGTATCAAACTTCCAAGCCCCACTGCACATGCTAAAGGCCCAAAGCAACTCTAAATCTCTTTGGCCCATTGAACTTGTTCTTACAAAAAAGTCACTTCAGGGTAATGTGTTCTGCTTATTGGCATTTTGGTCCTGTATTTCTCCTGCAGATAGCAGGTTGGTTGCTGAGAAATGTAATATATATTTAGTTATAGATGGATACAATAACTTTATTTTATTTATTTTTATGTGGTGCCTCATATGTGCTAGGTAAGCACTCTACCAGTGAGCCACAACCCCAGCCCCAATGTAATACATCTTATTAACTTAACCCAGGCAGGGCTGCAGATAAATTAAATTGCTTTTTTTTTTTTTTAAGAAAGCACATGGGAGTCAGCTCAGTTTATAGAATTATCCCCTTAATCTCATGTTCCCAACACTTATGTCTGTCTGCTGTCACCTTCACTATCAATTACCCATTTCTCAGTCCATTTTTGGTTGCAATAATTGGATACTACAGGATGGATAATATATAAAGAATAGAAGTTTATCTAGCTCACAGTTTGCAAGTTGGGAAGTTTATGAGCATCTGGTAAGGACCTTTGCACATATTTATCATCACACCTTCATGCTTGTACTCATGCAATTTCTTCAGGCTGGAATACACCTGCTCTTTTCCGTCTGTTGAATTGGTATACACCCTTCAGAATTTTGTTTAAATGTTATCATTTTACCTAATTGCCTTGGTAGAATTAACTCCTTCCTCTCTGCTCCCCAGCAGTTTAAAGTGTATTTCTCATTTTCTCACTCTACTTATTTTCTGTTAGTCATCATTTAAAGAGCAAAGAAGTGGCCTTCCAATGTCATGCCAGGGTTCTTCCCTTCAAAGCCTTCATGGTGTTCCCATGAGGCTTTGCTTGGGGAGCATGTTCTCATTTCCCTGGAACCTAAATTCTGATTCCAAAATTTTACTTTGTCAGAATCTCAACAAGACATTTAGGAAGAGTCTGAGCTATATGTTCTTCAGTCTTTGACCTGTCCTGGTTTTCCAGAGATGCTCCTGGAATTCACAGCAGTCACCAACACAGCTTACAAAGCATCCTCATAGTGTTTCTCTCAACAATCTTCATGAGTCTGTGAAGCAAATATTATTATTATCCTCATTTTATTGAAAAGCACACTGACTCTTAGGCTCAAAATTAAGTACCTGACTTAGGATCACACAGAGAGAGGATCAGGAACTAGTCTTATTACTTTAATTCTTCCCTCCCTCCCTTCTTTCTTTCTTTTGGGTCTTACTATGTTGCACAGACTGGCCTCAAATTCCTAGGCTCAAGTGATCTTCCTGTCTTAGTCTCCTGAGTCGCTGGGACTACAGGGGCATGCTAGAATGTTCAGAAATCTTCTTACTTTAAATCCCAAGCTTTTCCATTATGGCACCGGCTTCCTCTGTTGTAGAAGTCTTTACCACATAGCAGTTTCAGGGGCAGTCACAGTCATGAGTGTCGCAGTCATGGGCACCATGCACCTTTACTCTATAGCCTCAGCACCTAGCTCAGAAATGGGTCAGGGCCTCCGAGAATGTTTTATTGACTGAATGAACCTGTGAATGTTGAGACAGAAAGGCAAAGTGAATTGGGCAGACTTAACATGAGGGATGTGTATTTGATCAGGCATTCATGCTGCTTCTTTTCCCCTCTCCCCTGGCCTTCCAGAACTTGTATCCATTTGATCATTTATTTATTCATTCACAGACATGACATGTAGTCATTTCCAGCACTGAATCACTGATGTTCTACTCTGTGGTATGTTTTAGTGCCTGGCTAAAGGACACTGTTGACCCAATGCTGGTGACCCTTGACCACCGCATCGCAGCCCTCACAGGCCTTGATGTCCAGCCTCCCTACGCAGAGTATCTCCAGGTGGTGAACTATGGCATTGGAGGGCACTATGAGCCTCACTTTGACCATGCTACGGTAATAATGGGTCCGATGACCAATCTTCTGAGGCCAAAGCGAATGCATTGCTTATTTATGTGAGATGTAGCTCTTGTAGGGCTCTCAGAGTCATACAAAACGAAATCTTAGAACAAAGGTTCTTATTTAAGGAATGTCTAAAAATCTTGGTTTTAGCTGATTGTTGCTGGTTCATTTTCTTATCTGTTATCATTCCACTTTCCAGAATTTGCTATGTTGGCAGAATGAGGCCTGTTATGGAATCTTGTCTCCTGTTCATTTGGGGACTTCCCAGGGAGGACTGTCCTTATCTCAGCCCTTCTTCTTTTCTTATGATCTCAACTGCCTTCCTTTGCTGGCAGTAACAATCAATTTTTGAGGGTTAAAAAAACAGCCCCCAAATCTAACTATACATTCAACCCCAACATTATTAAAATTCCAGAGGGCTTATTTTTGTAGAAATTAACACACGGATACTAAAATGTATATGGAAATGCAAAGGACTAGAATAGCCAAACAATTTAGAAAAAGAAGAACAAAATTGGAGGCTATACACTACCTGATTTCATGATTCACTTGTTCATTTGTTCACTGACTCATTCACAGACATCATATAGTCATTTCCAGAGTAGAGCTACAAGAACCAGGGCTGTATATGGTATTGGTGGAAGGACAGAAACATAGGTCAAGGAAACAGAATGGAGGATCCAGAAATAAGCCTGTACAATTATGGTCAGTTGTTTTTTTCACAAAGATGCCAAGGAAACTCCATGAAGAAAATATAGCCTTTTCAACAAATGGTGCTGGGATAATTCAATAATCTACCAGCAAAATAATGATAGCAACATCAGAATCTATTTCATGACATTTATGAAAATCAATGCAAAATGGATTGTAGATGTATATGCAAAATATAAAACTTCTAGAAGAGGGGCTGGAGTTGTGGCTCACCTTGCATGTGCGAGGCACGGGATTTGATCCTCAGCACCACATAAAAATAAATAAAATGTATATAAAACAGAATATATTCTTTAAAAAAAAACAAACTTCTAGAAGAAAACCTAAGAGAAAATCTTTATAACCACAGGTTAGGCAAAGCAGAGTTATAGATCACCAAATTCTGATCCATAAAAGAAGAAAAAAGTGATAAATTGGACCTTGTCAAAATTAAAATCTTGCTTTTCAGAAAACACCATTAGAAAATGAAAAATCAGGTCATCAATTAGGAGAAAATATTTGTAAATTATATACTTGATAAAGGATTTGTATCCAAAATATATGCAGAACTTCTGTAACTCAACAGACAACTAATTTTTTCTTTTTTTTAAGGGTGAGTTTAATTTGTTTTCTTTTTCTTAACTTTATTTTATTTATTTACATTTTATTTGGTGCTGAGGATCAAACCCAGTACCTCACATGTGCCAGGCAAGCGCTGTACTACTGAGCCACAACCCTGGCCTCACAACTCAAAAATTTTAAATGAGCAAAAGATTATTTAAATAGGCACTTCAAAGAAGAGAAATAAATGGCTAATAAACATGTGAAAAGATGCTCAACACCATTAGAGAAATGAAAGTTGAACCCATAATGAAATATCGCTGTATTCCTATTAGAAGAGCTAAAATGAAAAAGATATCTTATGAGATCATACCAAGTGTGGATGAGGACAGTGAGGACTCACACACTGGGGGGATGTAAAATAAAACAGTCACTTTGGAAAAGAGTTTGGCAGTTCTTAAAAAGTTAAAGGTACACCAGCCTATGATCCAGCCACTTCAATTCCAGATATTTTACACAGGAGAAAAGGAAATATACATCTATACACACACTTGCATGTGAATGTTCATAGTAGCTTTATTAGCCAAGAATTAGAAACAGCTTAAATACATCCATAGGTTAATGGATAACAAATTTTTATATATCTGCACAATGGAATACTATTCATCAAGGGAAAGAATGGACAGGTACATCCAACCACAGAGAAGAACCTTCAAAATAGTGCACAAGCAAGAGCAGCCTGATGGATAAGATTCCACATTTTATGATTCTATTTATATGAAAAGGGAAAAAACAGAATGGAAAGTAGGTAAGTGTACTGCTCAGAGTTATAGAGGGATTAACTGAACACTGGCATGAGAGAACTTTACCGGTTGATGGAAATGTTCTAAAACTGGATTGTGGAAATGGTTGGACAAATGTTGAAATTAGCTAAAGTTCATCAAATAGTATGCTTACAATGGGTGAATTTTATGGTATGTAAGTTTTATGTCAGATTGTTCTATGACCAAAAAAAAAAAAAAAGATTTCTCTTTGGCAAGTAATTGGGAACTCCAGTCTTATCATTTGGTATTCCTACAGAATAATGATCTATAAGAATTTACATATAAATTTATTTCACAGAATCCAAAGGCAAAATTCACCTCTCATATAGAGCTTTCACTATTGACAAGTAGTTTTATTTGATTAGCACACAGTTCATTCATGTGAGTATCTAATAAATAGTGTCTATAAAGAGTATTGAGTACCTGTCAGCAAAGATGAGCACATGGTCCCCTCATTATGTCATCCTGGTGCCATCTGCATAAAATAATGTTATGTTCTATTTTTGTCTCAGTCGCCAAGCAGCCCCCTATACAGAATGAAGTCTGGAAACCGAGTTGCAACATTTATGATCTATGTGAGTCTTGCTCTGGAGGGACCAGGGCTTCTTACCTAATGACTATATCTCTCCTCTTTTTTATTGTGTTCAAAACAATTTCATGTATTGATTTTATCTGGTACTAAACACAAAAGTCTTCAGGAAATTTATGAATTTTAAATAGCATTTTTTTTTTGTTCAACACTATAAGAGATATAAAGGAATGGATCTAATATGACCTTGTCATAGGCCATGGGTTAGGATGGACAGTAGGTTTACAATGAAGGCAAAGAGTTTGTGAGACTTAAACAATGCAGGAAGAGAATACAGGAGTCTCCCTCTTTGAGGTCCCACAGCCTACTCAGTGTTGAAAAGTGTGGGCCCTTAAGTGCAGCTGCAGAGGTGTGGGAGAGAGAGAGGAGAGACAGGCAGCTCAGTCACCAGCAGGAAAGCACAGGGAGGCCGACAGAGAAATTCCTCAAGTGTGGCCTCTGAGATGAAAATCTCAGAGAAGTCTCAGTGAAAATCCTCCTCCTATTTCCCCATAAATTCTTCAGTAAAATCTCCACTATATCCCCTGAAAAAGCAAAACAATAAATTTGTCTCTTCTGGTTCCCAGCCTGGTCCTGTGGGACTTGGTCCCAGCATTTGTTATCTCACCCATCACCTTCCCTTCAGGTCCTGTGGGTTTATTTCCTTCTTCACACCTAAGCCATAATTCTGATCATCTCTTACTTGGGAGAGATTATTAGAAGCAAACACTTATTGGAAAAGATTACTCCTGACTGAGGCTGTGAATAACAACCAGAGATGAAGTCCTGTTTTCGGGCTCATTGGATGAGCAGACACTCCCTTAGCTTCCCCTCTTCTCTCAGGCCTGTATCTGGTTTCTGCAGATACAAGAGCCAAGAAAGGGCAGTTGGAGACTGGCATTGCATATAGTCTCTATGCCTGCAATTCTGGTTTTGTTTCCAGTGGCTAAATTTTATGCTTCCTGAAGAACTGGAGACTTTTAAAACATGCCATCTGACCTCTCGGTGGTCATTCTGATCAGGCACAGCTGAAGCCAGCTGCCAGGCAGGGAGCACATCTTGGATCTGCAGCTGGTTGTGTCTCTGGCTGATCACTGAAGCTGGCATGGGAGGTCACAGGCAGTGAAAAGTGTAGATATCAACCAGACAATATGAGCATCTGGGGGCACAGTATGTCTGTTCTTTACCCTCTTGCCTTGCCCAAATCTTTTATGGCTAGTTCCCTAGATACAGAAGCCCAGTTATTGTAATGAAGGTAGGATGGATAAAGGCCCAGCAATTTTAAATGGCAATTGTGCACATATCTATTTGTGTGTGTGTGTGTGTGTGTGTGTGAGAGAGAGAGAGAGAGAGAGAGAGACAGAGAGACAGAGAGACAGAGAGAGAATGAGAGAACATGCATGTACATTTGAGTTTTAGGCATTTGAGACACAGTAAAATGGAATGCACTTTGGTTTTGGACTCAGTTGGTCTGATCCTGATTCTTTGGTTTACTATGGGGCCTCAGTACATATCACATCAATTATTTGAGCTCATTTTCTTGCTCTGCACTTCCTCACAGGGTTGTAATAAGGATCTGAGGAGATAGTGCAGGGGGAACGTCACTGTGGAAAGTTTCATATGTTTCTCTCATTGTATCCCACCAAGCAAGTAAGGAAAGAACCCTATAAAGGGGAATTAGTGTCATGGGACCAATACTTTCATCTTCAGGTTGGGTAAAGACCATCAAATTTCTAAAGGCAAATAATGTTAAGGTTTGTGGGAGACAAGAGTAATATTGTAGAGAGAAAATAATTTCTAAGAAGTACAGAGGATGGACTTGAAATAAGTTGGTGATTTTCTGCCCAGACTGGACATAAGTTCAGCCCTAATACAGTGAAGGTATTCATAAAGAATATCTCTTTCAGCACTGTTCTACAATTCATGCCCTTGAACTTCATTGCATACAGAATGAGATTTTCTTTTGAATATGTTGGTTTATCATTCCTTACATTGTGTCTAAAACCACAGGAAAAGGAATGCAGGAAAGTCAAGGTTGCCCCTGGTGAGTCATGCTTGTACCCACAGTGACTACAACAGAACAGAATCATCCCGTCTTTTAGTTTCTTGAACACAAAGATCGAGTTGTTCCCATTGGCCCTCCAAGTGGCCAGAGTGGGAACCAAGGAGCACTGACAGCTAAAACTGCCATTTCCAGGTTCTGAATCACCAAGACAGTTCAGTTTCCTGTAAGTGACAACCTCTTCAGGCCTAAAGTTCTTGCTCTGTAACACAGATTGTGGTGGGATGGGGTTTGATGACCACAAAATTAAAAGAACATGGACCTTCTAGTAGTGCTAGGCAGAGTGATGTAATACTTGCTCTCTCATGTTGTATGGCTGGTGAGAAAATAATTTAGCAGTATATATCAGAAATATTAAATGTATGCATACCAATTTGGACTCATAACGCTAATTCTTTTTCCTATGAAAACAACCCAAAATTCAAAAATAATTTCATTGATTAAGATGTTCAGGGGCTGGGGTTGTGGCTCAGTGGTAGAATGCTCGCCTAGCATGCATGAGGCACTGGGGTTCAATCCTCAGCACCACATAAAAATAAAAATAAAGATATTGTGTCCACCTATAACTAAAAAAAAATTTAAAAAAAAAGATGTTCAAGATGGGCTTGGTGGCACATGCCTGTAATCACAGCATTTTGGGAGTCTGAGGCAGGAGGATTGCAAGTTCAAGGCCAGCTTGGGCAAATTAGTGAGACTCTGTCTCAAAATAAAAAATAAAAGGTGTTGGGGATGTAATTTAGTGATAGAGTACCCCTGGGTTTAATCCCCAATACCACACATACATCCCCCCCAAAAAAAAAAGTTTCAGTGCAGTGTTGTTTATAATAGTAAATATTTCAAATAACCTAAATGTTCAAAAGTACAGCATAATGTTTATGAGCAGGGACTTTGTAGTCAGATAGTACTGGCTCAGCTCAAATCCTGACTGTCACAGAAGAGTTATGTGACCTTTTGAAAAGTATTTAATATCTCTGAGATTTATTTCCTCATCTGTAAAATATAAATAATAATAATTAATACTAATCCTTCTAGTATAGTATTTAATATAAGTACTTAGTGTGATGTCTAGCATATAGTCAGTGCTTACTAAATGTCAGCTATTACTATGTAACTGTAATACTGCATTTTTTTTTCCTGGATGGCAAGATGATAAGTGATTTTTTCAAATGCTTTCCTGTATTAAAAAATGTGCTATGATTACTATGTATTTCTTTGACAATCGAGAAAAAATATCTTTATATTAAGAAAACATATCTGCAATCCAAGAATATACCAGTGGTGGAAACCCTCAGCTTAGGTGACCTAGAGTGGAACTGAGTGATCTGGGGAACCTGAGAAAGGTGCAGTAAATAGTTCTTGAGATGGCCACCTTTCAAAAACAGATCGTTGTAATCTAAACCGGTGTTCAAGTCACAAGTTATGATCCACTAGTAGGTTGTGAAATTAAATTTAATGAATCTGATCTGTATTTTAAAAAACTGTACTAGAATAGAATAAAATAAATAAATAAAAGGAAAAATATCAGAGGTGTCTCACGCAGTTGGAATGTCTTTATGAAATTTATGTGTGTGTGTCAGATTATGATGCATTTCTCCCTGAGGGTCTCAATCAAAAAAGTTTGAATCTACTTATTGTAGCCCTTAATAAGGATATTAGCTGAAAGGAAAAAGAGAGAAGGGTTCCCAAAATCTTGTCTTCTTGTGTTCCTGCCGGCAAACACCAGGGGACTTATTCAGGGAGACTTATTTCCTCATCTATAAAATGTGAAGAATAATAATAACAACAATTCTGACTCATAGTATGGTACTTAGTATAAGCAGAAGTGTGAAGATTAGGGTGAGGAAAATTAGGGTAACAGTCACAGTAGAGCTCCTGGAGGGAAAGGATTCTGTTGGAGTTACCTTTGGGTTCCCTACAGCAGCTCGTTAAGGTTAGGAAAGAGTCTTAGCATTAGTGTTATTGGTTCAAATGGGTATGCATAGATTTAGTACTCCTGATACATACTGCTAAGCTGTTTTCTCACTAGTGTTATTCACATTTTACATATGAGGAAATAAGGCTCCCTGAATTCTGAAGTTGGATGACTGTCTTTCAAGGATGACTGTCTTTCAGAGTTGAAACAGGGCACCACAAGAGGGCAGCTATGCAAAAATGACGTCAGAGGCCAGGCCACTGGGCACAGGACAGAATAGGGATGTGGTGGCAATGTTAACTGTGGCTTCTTCCTCTGGCATTGTAGCTGAGCTCAGTGGAAGCTGGAGGAGCCACGGCCTTCATCTACGCCAACTTCAGCGTGCCTGTGGTTAAGGTGAGTGGGGCCTGTTCCCAGAGGAGCGGGCTGAGAGGGCACAGAAGTAACCCCCTAACCTTCACACTTCTGCTTGAAATCCGATGCCTGGGAGGGGGGATAACAAGAAGTTTTCCCTGATTTTCAGGATCAAACATAAAGTCACAGTCTTCTCTATTACCCTAGCATGTTACTTGTGGCTCTGTTTATTTATACTTCTGTGACAAGTAGGTGTCTGTCTTCCCTGTCACAGTAGAGCTGGAAGGGAAGACCTATTTGTTTTTGTTTGTTTGTATTTTTTGAAGGGAGGACACCAGAGATTGAACTCAGGGTTACTCTACCACTGAGCCACATCCCCAGCCCTATTCTGTATTTTATTTAGAGACAGGGTCTCACTGAGTTGCTTAGTGCCTTGCTTTTGCTGAGGCTGGCTTTGAACTCGTGATCCTCCTGCCTCAGCCTCCTGAGCCACTGGGATGACAGGCGTGTGCCACTGTGCCTGGCTGGGAAGACCTCTTTTGATTGACCCTTGGGTTCTCTACAGTAGTTTGTTCCTGCAGTTATTAATTGCATCCACACTGAACTCTAGAGGCACTGAGGATACAGAGGAATCAGAGTCCTTTTCTTCCGGGGCTCACAGAGAAGCTAATATGTAGTAACAACTGAAATTGGAGCTATGGGAAAGATAGGTCCAGAGGAGAGTCATGCGGTAAGAGTTCTGTTTAATGAATGAATATTTCCTCCAAGTTTCAGATCTATCAAACTCCCTGACAGCCCTTACCTAATTCAGAAATGAAATGAAAATAAATTCATGAGATCATGCCTATAAAGCAATTAGTACAGAGCCTGGCATGTTCTAAGCATTCAATAAAAGATGTGTCTGTGAGTACCTAGGGCTTTAGCATCTCCTAAATTTAGGAACAGAGGTGTCGGCATATCCTTCATTACTTTAGGCTTGATCTACTTCTAATGGCCAAAGTTAAACTAAGTCTCTAGGAAATGCATGGGACAAAAAAGCAGAGTGTAGGGGCAAAAGAACACACACCTGGGCTTGAGTCCTACCTTTGCTCTTTCTTGGTTACATTATTTCAAGCCCTAAGCATGGACTACTTCAGGAAGGGGGTTATGATGAGGCCTACTTCCTGGGTGCTGGTAATAAGTGCCTCAAGGAGCATAAGCTTTGAAACTAATGAAGTTTCCACTGAGGAATATCTTGTTCTGCCTTGTGGGTTTTGTTAGGCATCTGTCCTCAGTAATCCCACCACACCCATCCTTACCTCACCCTTTCACTCCCCACACTGTATCACCCTTTTCTATTTTATCTCTGCCTCTCGTGAACTCCAAAGAACAGAGCTGGATGGGCTTTGTCTCTGCACACTCAGGGCCTGGAGAGGAACAGAGCTTTAAATCAGTGTCCTATGCATGAGTACAGCAATTTATGTCAGATTGTGCTGTTTTCACCGTGCCTTGTCCCAGAGTGCAGGGAGGGTTTCCTTATTGAACCACATGCATGCATTTGTCCTTAGTCAAGGGCTTCCCAAGGACTGAGATTCTGGCCTGATTCTCCTGCTGGGCTGGCCTCTCTTGTTTTCAGAATGCAGCACTATTTTGGTGGAACCTGCATAGGAGTGGTGAGGGGGATGGTGACACACTTCATGCTGGCTGTCCTGTCCTGGTGGGAGATAAGTGGGGTAAGTCCTTCCTTTCTGAACATGAGAATGGGGTGAGGGGTGCCGAGATAGGGAGTGGGTTGGGTGGGAGATCGCAAAGCCCTCCCATGCCACAGGCTTCATTATGGAGCCACACTGTATTAAGATGATCAGACTATCAACCGGGTGCCCCGCACAGGTAGGAGCTTGTGAAGAGCAGGGTCCTGACACAGAGTAAGTGTCTACAAAGGTTTATTGACCTTGCCACATGGGCCTTGATCCTGGGCACAGCTGAGAAGGAATGTGGCAACAGAGTCCCTCCCCTTCACTGCTCGAAGACATGAGCCATCAGGCTCTCTGTCAGTGCCACCTGTGCAGAGGCGGCCCTAAAAAAGCAGCAGGCAGATGTGCTTATGGCTGTGTGTGCCCAAGAGCACTGAGCTCTGAAAAGGAGGTGCAAGAAGGCTTTCATGCTGACATGGGCACTGCCAAAGAAGCCACCGCACTTCTGTCATTACTCAGGAGTGGCTTTGTGGGGGAGGTGGGATTTTATAATGAAGGGTGAGTGACTTCAGTGCCCACACACTTGAAAATCACTTTCTAGTAGGCAGGATCTCTTGGACTTTAGGAGAACACTGTCCTCTGCTATTCTCTGCTAGAAGAAACAGTGTGAAACCCAGTGTGAGCTGGGACTGGGTGGGCCGGAGGGTGTTAGGAGGTGCTTGCGAATCTGCCCCTCCCAGCCCACACAGCCCACGGCTGCCCTGCTCAGCTGGCTGTCTTCCTTCCCGCTGTCTCCAGTGGCCAACAAGTGGATACACGAGCATGGACAGGAATTCCGCAGACCCTGCGGCTCCAACCCAGAAGACTGAAGATTCCCCAGAGCAGCTGCGGAGTCTCGTGTCCAGGAGCCAAAAACTGGAGAAGGAGAACCAGGGGAGAGCAGCCTCCTGAAAGAGGCATTTGACCATTCCTTGAAAATGGAAGGCTAGGAGCCTTCACCGGGGACCCCTGAGAAGTTAAATTTGTTTCTGGTCCAGCCACAAGAGTCATAGGAGAATGGACAGTACAAATAAGGGGTCCATGGAGGCGTGGGAGAGAAGCTTCTAGAACTCAGTCTGTGTTAGGAATAGAATTTACCCACAGTCTCTAGGGTTTGGGCTTTCAGAGTTTTTGCCACTCTGACCACGGGGACCCAGAAGTGGCAGTGAGGACACCTGCAGAAGTCAGTCCGATCCCTAAGACTTTTGTCCTTCTCCCCACTGACTTCTGCTGTAGCCTGAGCTGGGAGTGTGTCTGACTTGGATGTGCACCCCATGCAAGAAGTACATCATTTGGTGATTTTTTTTTTTTTAAGTAGAGAGCAACTTTTATGTGATGATTTTTTTTTAGTACATTAAAAATTTTTAATGTAAACATTAAAAATGTTTACAAATCATTCTTCCCAACTACCGATCTTCTTATATTCAAATGATGCGTGAAATAGCAGAGTGTACCATTTTGTCATATTCTCCTCTCGGCCTGGCTCGCTCCTCTGCTCACATTCCCTGCGCTGACATTCTTCCTGTCCCTTGGAGCCACTGTGCTCAGGGCCACCTTTGCTACCTTCTCAGGCCTTCTTTTGCTGCCTCTTCAGCTCCCCACAGCCCAGCTCTGCTCATTCCGTTCTTGGCCTGATGTTCCCTCAGGGGGCCTCCCCTGACTACCCTCCCTTCTAGCCTCTTTATGCTATATTACCTGATTTTATTTTCTTCCCACCATTTATCAGTATTGAAGTTACTTTGTTTGTTTAATTGCGGTCAGCTTCCCTCCTTGCAGGGCAAATGTTTCATGGCCCCTGTACTTTGTCAGTGTCTCTGTTATAGCCCCTATCTCACTGAATTTCAATGTTTGTTTATTTGCCAGGCTGCTCCCACTAGACTGCTCTGTTCCTCTTGGAGTCCTCAGAAGGTCTGGTTCAAACTAAGTAGGCATTCAGCAGTTTTGCAAAGGCATCCTTTGAACAGCACTGTAGAGGTGGAATTTCTACAGGTGGGGTCTGAAGAGAAGTCTTTCCCAGCAGAGGGACTAGTGTGGGCTGTGGCCGCAGTGATGGTGAAGGTGCTATTTGAGAGCTTGCACTGAAACATCACTTGGTTTGGGTTCCTCCCCAGGGGATGTGGGTGTGTCTTGCTCTCAGAGGAGCCACAAGGTGAAGGACCAGGTGGTTAGACTCCATGTTGCCTCTGCCCCCTCCCCTCGCCAAGCCCCTAGGATCTCAGCTTCCCGAGCTGTGTAGCCCTCCAAGGTTAGGGCTCTGATGTCCTGATGTCCAGCTTCCTTGGAGCCTCTATGAGTATCTTGTCACATTGCCTGTATTTATGCTGATTGTGCCAGTATTCTAGAAAGCTGCTGTCACCCACTCTGCCTGCCTCTTCCAGCTCCAGAGACAGAAGTAGTCCTGAGACAGAAAGCTTTGGTGGGGCGGGGTACTGCTTCCTTTCTCCACAGAACCAGAACTTCTCAGAATTACATTGTCGGTCTGAGCTAATGTAGCAATGGAGCAACAAACGGTGAGTCTATTGAGATGGCACTATTTTAAGGGCCTCATGCATTCCATGTTTAATGCTCATCCTAACTCTGGAGGTTTGATATGGTTTTCATCCCTGTTTTATAAACAAGGAGGTAGAGTTAGAGTTAAGAACTTTTTAAAGTCCTACAGTCTGGCCCCAAACCTTGTGCCTTTAATATATGTGCTTTTAACCAAGCCTGAGATATGAGAATTATCAAACACCTTAACCAAGTGACTAAGACCCGGGAACACCTAACTGCAAATTAAGCAACAACTACTTACTGAACATTTTCCAGGAGGAGGTGTGGGGCTCAGCCGGTGTTGTGGGTATATAGAGAGGCCCAGGACAGAATCCCTGGGAACAATGCCAGCAGGAGTTAATCACCATTTGAACACAATATGAAAATATTGCATGCAAGAAGAAATGAATTACTACTGATTGCAGTAATGAGAGCAAGGAGATCATGGTGATTTAGGGTATTTTCCTGTGTTAGTTAGGTTTCCTGTGTTAGTTAGGGTAGTTTCCTGTGAGACTTTTCTGTTACTCTAACAAAATATGAGAGGCTGGGAACTTTTCTTTATAAAGAGGTTTATTTAACTCCTGGTGTTGGAGGATCAAGGGCATGGCAATGGCCTCAGTCCAGCTCTGGTAAAGGCCTCATGGTGGATGGTATCACAATGGCAGAAGCATGTGCGAGGCAAGCAACCATAGAGAGATTCAGGGGTCTCAGAAACAGAGATAGACCCTCAATTCATCACAAGACCTTGTAGCCATGAGTAGACAGACATGATCTGAGGGCACTATGAGTCTTCATGGGAAGGAGGGCCATGCACAAGTCTTGAAGATGAGAGGCTCCATAGTGGCCAGGAAGGAGTGACAGGACTGGACCGGCAGTAGGGGAAGTGCCTGTCCCTAAAGCTCTGAATATTAATACCTTACTTTGGCCAGCATGTTAGTTTTTAAAACTTTTCCACTCCTCTTGAAACTCACTTCCCTGGGGAGGAAAGCAGAGCAAGTGCTATGGAAAGTGACTTGCTGGGGTGACGTAGCAGAGTATGGGATAGACACCTGGCCATCTGTGTCCCTCACCAGTGCCCTTTCCACTGGATACTTTCTGTGTTAGTCAGCTTTTTGCTGTGACCAAAATGCTTGACAAGAACAATTTAGATTAAGAAAAGTTTATTTGGGTCTCACGGTTTCAGAGGTCTCAGTCCACAGTCAGTCAGCTCCATTACTCTAGGCCTGAGGTGAGGCAGAACATCACAGCAGAACATGGTAGAGAAAAGCCGCTCAGCTCAGGGCTGTTGGAAAGCAAAGAGAGGACGAGGCCAGAGGCTGATACCATCCAAGGCTGCACCCCCAGAGCATGAATTCCCCTGGCCAGTGCTCCGCCTGCTACAGTTCAGTAGTTCATTCAAAATACTGATCCATCAAGTGGATAAATCCACTGATGAGATGACAGCTCTCATCTTTCAGTTTTTTCCCTAAAGTCCCACCTCTCAACCTTGCTTCATTGTTTATCACGCTTTCAACACAAGCTTTTCTGGGGACACTTCATATCCAAACCATAACACTTTCAAAGCCATGTCCCTCTACCACACCACAGCCAGAGTGGAACTGCCTCATTCTTTTATATTTTCGCCAGTCTCCATGCCCCCAAAGTCTGACTAGTCCTGCTAGGAAGTGCTGTGCAGATGTGAGGTCCCAGTAGCACTAAGTGGGTAGGTAGATCATTCATAATAGGATCAATTTGAGGATTGCTTATTTATAATTTTCTTTGTCTTTTTACACTGAGTTTCCAACTGTTTTCTAACAGCCTTGTCCAACACAATTCCTGACCTTGAACTATATATCACTTGTAAGCCTCATGGAAGGTAATCTTGTTGACATTAATGATTGTTATTATCCTTAGTAACCCTATATTGTTTAACCTGGGCAGTTTGCTAAGATCATAGATGCACTCATCCCCTTTATTCTTTATAATAAGTACTGTTATACCTGTTTTATAGATGAGAGAAACTGAGGCAGAGAAAGTCTAACTTGCCTTAGGTCACGTGGCTATAAGGTGGCAGAGGAAGGATTCAAATCCAGATTTCTCTGTCACCAAAGAGCTTAACCAGCCCTCCACTGTCTGGATGGTGTTCCTTTGGCTGTTGGTGCTTTGCTCCTGTTGCAGTAATAGTTCTCAAAGCCAACAATTGTAGAGATGTTTTCCAATACTTTCCCAGGTTGAAAAGGTCTATCCATTGTGCCTCTGATGCCTGCTGGCCACGAGCCCCGTCATATGAATCATTTCAGTTCTGCAGATGTCAAGCGAGTGGCCACTGGATGAGCAGCCCCATGTTAGCTGCTTCACGAGAGTCCAAGAGAGGAGGTGCCCGGCTCGCTGCCCTTCAGGCACAGGTAGCACACTCTGAATGTAACAAGAGATAAGTGGGTACAATCAAGTGGGAAGCAGCGTGGTGCTCAGCCTAAGGATGGTGAGGCCAGAGAGGGTCGAGAGGGCTTCCATGTTGGAGCCCCAGGAACACACTGGAGAGTGAATGTGTGCCACTGGAAGGCGGGAGCAGGGGCTACCTGCTTGTCCCCCTTTCACATACAAGGGAGCAGGGAGAGCTATCCTGGAGGAGGAAGTGAGAGGGTGTTGATCCTGGGGAACTCCTGTCCAGCAATGCCAGGAGCAGCACAAACTGCCCTTTCATGGCATGTCTCAAAGAGTCCCCTGTTTGGGGACCTTGGCTGCTCAAGCTGAAGAAGCCAAAGAAGCCTGTATGTAGGGTATGTGTGTGTGTGGGGGGAGGGACATTTGCCTGCAGGTTGCTGTGTACACAGCTGAATTATGGAATCAGCTAAGAGTTAGGGGGAGGAAACAAACATTTGTGTCCACTCTGCAAGCTATTTAATGTCCCATATCTTATTCTCAACAATTGTCAGCTTTTTGGCAAAGGAGGAAAGTGGGGCTCAAAGGTAAGATTTCCTGGGCTCACACAGCTGGGAGCAGAGACAGCATCTGGAGCCAGGCAGGTCTCCGCCACCAGCTGTCTCCAGGATCTTTCTCTCTGGACTTCTTTTTCTTCCTCACCTTGAAATTCTCACAGTTTTCTCCCCCTTTGGAATAAAAGCCTGTTTCTTTTCTCTCTGTCCATCCCTCTTTATGTTTATTTCTTACACAGAATCCCTCTGTTTCCACCAAGGTTTGAGTGACAAAAAGTTTCTCTGTCCTTGCAAGGGAAGTATTTGCATTTGAAATAAGAAACCTGGAGAAATAAAAAATTATCTCAAAGGAACGAGGTGCTAAGGGTAGATTTAAGCATCACGATAGCTGGGTGGTGTCTTTTTGGCTATGGGCTGAAGGGCATGGCTTAGATGGCTCCCCATAGACAACTGCATCTCTACCTTGCTTAGAATTCACCACATTTTCAGATGGAGCATAACTACAAGATCATACCCCCCAGGGCTCCTGTTCATCTGCTTACCATCTAATAGGGACTGAGGGCAGAGTTACTTCCTCTGGCCCAGGAAGGTGAAGTGACTTGCCCATATCTCAGTGTGTCAGGGTCAGAGCCAAGGCTAGAAGCCAGATTTTCTGGTTCAGAGACCCGTGCTCTTTCCACGGCTCCCTAGGTGCTTTGGAAAGCACCAGGAGCACAGTGACAAACAGTGGTACCAACCCTGGATGGGGTTTTAATGGGACAGATAGTGTGTGGTCTGTCACTCATTCAACTAAGCGTGACTGATGTTACCTCTGCACCAGGTCCTTTGTGGGGCTGGAGATGCTGGGATGACTAATCAATCTCTGTCTTTGAGCTCCCAGAGGAGAAAACCCTCAATGACAATACCAGTGAAATACTTGT